CAATTTAGCACAATATAGAACAGGGGTATCACACTTGTCAAGCATCATGAATTCAAAACCGTTTTGCAAAATCAAGGCCCAAGAGTACGTCAATTATTCAACCCAAGTTTGAAACTTTCATGTATATAACATGTATGCAATGCTATGAACTCAGACTTGCTCAAAACATGATCACTTTAGATAAAATGGTGAGAAACTTGATAAATTCTCAAAATAAAGCCAAGATAGACACATGCATGTGTGGTTTGTTTGAAATTCAAACTTAAAATGTGATGAAAATGCATGCATGCAAGGTATGGCTCAAATTCACCTCTCAAACTTAATTCTTGTTCTAATTCCTCTTGAATTCATGTGTTATATCTCAATTTCACAAATAAAAGCTCAAATCCTTACCCAACTCTTGAATTAGTCTCTAGCTTGCTATATCTTTAAGCTTTCAAGCCAAATCCTTGTCATTTTCTAGCAAATTCCTTCCAATCTCAAGTTTGATCTCAAACCCTCTTGGTCTTTTCTTCCCCTCTCTCACGTTTTGTTTGTTTGTATAGGCTAAAAAATGTGATGAAGAAAAAAGATGAGTTAAAGCACATATAAGAGCCTTATATAGGCTTGATTAGTGGTGATTAGTTAAAACTAATCAAATGGACATTAGATTATTCTAATTTAGGGGTTGTTTGGGATGATCTAAATAAGTGCACTTTTGACTTTTTACGAAAAAAATATGAAATATGGGTTAGGTTTGAAGTGATGTGGTAGAGAGATGATGTGATTTAAATGAGATAATGTAACTTAAATAGGATAGTGACTTTTTGACTTTTTTGTATTATGCCAAACTAGGCCTTAATTGTTCCAAATCGAATTTTAATTAAACCTACCATAAAATTCTAAATAACACATAAACCGAGTTAATTTCATGATCGGATGTCGACAAGGCCTTCAATTCGCCGAACAAATTAGAAATACAAACAGATATTTCTACGACAGACAGATATAACCACAAATAATGCAATGCACATGCAATTAATTCAGAATTTTATCTTAATTACTTATTAGGCATTCTTACTCATATGTTGTGCCTGTTTGGTGCAGCTTAAAAGCTGTTTATTTTAGCTTTCAGCTTAATTTAAGCTATTTTGATGTGTTTGGTTTAGCTTAACAATGCAGCTTATAGCTTTTTGTACGTCAGAAATCAGCTTATTCTTTGAGTGGGGTAGGAGATGCTTAATTTATAAGTCAGAAATCAGCTTATGTTCATAGTTATAAGTTATAAGTTATTAAGGCATAAGCTATAAGCGCTTTCCCACAGCTCTACCAAACAGGGCCATTGTAAGCTAAGCATGGGTCGGGGTTGTTACACTTACCAAAATAGTGACCGAGAGCCATCTATATTTTACTCAAAGTTTGCTAAAACAATTGATGATAAAGAACATACAACAACATGCAGATAAAGTGGAATACATAAAGAAAATACATTACATTGAGATAGGTACCTTTTGGCTTTGAACTTTCCCTAGTGAAAGCCTATCAGACTTGCTGGCTAATTAGTGTATGTGATGCCTTAAATTGTTCAGTTGTTGGTGTAAGCCAAGACAATAGACTAAACACAGAGTATCTCCAAACATAGTTTGTTTCTCACAATTGTGTTTATTTTGGCCTTGAACAACAACTTGTAATTCATGAGTGCTCTAGAGAATTTAGCCTTCTCAATTCTTATAGAACCAGTCTAGCTCACATTTATATAGGTGACTTCTTAATAAGAGTATTCTACTATATCCCACTTGGATGTCCAATACATAAGTAATCATTAAAAGGAAAGCTTATCCTACTAATGTTGCAGGTTTAACTCTTCTTATCATAAAAATGGGTAGGAGAGAATTTTCTTAATGACACAAGAAGTCATCCATAATTCGGTTGTCCCTTTAAACCTAGATTTTAAGATCTCTAGTCGGCTAAGTTGGTTTCTACAAATACACCTAAATTCGTTGATTTCTACACCTTAGTTCCTTTGATAAAAAAGAAGAGCATACCGAGAGCTTCCTCTTAATCGGAACAAAGTTGATTTTCGGCATCTTTGAGGTTCCTCCACTCTCTCTCTCTCTCGTCTTCTAAGCTTGAGGTAGGGATTTCTTCGCACTTTCTTATGATTTTTAACTTAGCTATTTGTTTTTATAAGACAACATTGTGAAAAAGGGGATTTTTGAACAATCTAGGGTTTTGGCTTGAAATAAAAAAAGAGGGGTTTTCAAATGGGTTGTTAGAAATAATCGGGGAAATGTATTTATTATTGAGTTATGATGAAATGATGGATTTCTATCTTTGAAATTGATTTACAAAAGAAAGGGGATTTTGCCCTAAGAATATCAAATGTTGATTTTGTAATGATAAATGGAAATGATGTTGGAAATGTGGAATTGGATTGATGTTGATGATGATGGCGGAGTTAGATATGCATTATCATTCCCATCTTGAGATTTTCAAAAAGTTTATTTTTATGAAAATTATTTATTTGTTTAGAGATATCTGTTTTAGGCTATCGGTGGAGGATAGCTATGATTATTGTAGAAATTGCATGAGAATTAAGTCAATCAAAACTAATTTCTCATTCATTTACATTGAACATTGTCGCATCTTTAACACATTGAAAGTGTATATTATTTGAAAAAAATGGGTGAATACCTTGATGAATCTGGGTAGGAGTGTAATTGTGGTATTATGTTGGCTTGTGTGTCCTTGGTGAAAGTCCAGAAACCCTTGCGGTTAGGTGTCGAGTCTTTCGGTTAATACCAGTAAAAATGACAAATTGGTAGTGCATGTAGCCTACTTGCAGACACGTCCTAGAGATTCCCAATGTTGTATTCATTGCCCTATTTCCTATTGCATTCACCTTATATCTTTGTTAAGATTCATAAACTATGTGGTAGTATCTCTACTGATCTTTGGCTCATCCTATGTGAGAAAACCATTTTCAGGTGTGGATTATATGCCTCCGCCAATGCAATAACTTGGGATGACTCGGGACTAAAGGCTTCTTTTGTGTATTGTTGTATTTAGGGTCACTACTACAAAAATAGTTAAAGATCATACTTTGATAAATGAAAATATCTCACTTTTATTGGAAGTGTGATAAAAAAATTAGATTGATATTTTAATCACACTTGATTTGATAATAATATTTATTTTTTATATCACTTTTCAATTAAGTGTGATTATATATATATATATATATTTTTTAATCACACCTTCTAATTAACATGTGATTATATTTATTTTTTATGTCACTTTTCAATTAAGTATCATTATATCTTTTTTTTTAATCACAAATTATAATTAACGTATGATTATATATACACTACTACAATAATATATTTACTTTTAATCAGATTTTTTAAACATGGTGATGCTAGGGGCCTTGAATTGTCGAGGCTCGAATGCCTTGACATTTCCTCTCTTTTCCTTTTTTTTAATCACATTCTAATTAACGTGTGATTATATATATACTACTACAATAATATATTTACTTTTAATCAAATTTTTTAAACATAGTGATGCTAGGGGCCTCGAATTGTCGAGGCTCGAATGCCTCAACAATTTCTCTCTTTTTTTTTTTTTCTTTTTTGGAGGGGGGGGTGTTGGTTTATTTATTTTTTTTTTAAAGGGTAGTTATGTGTAGTGGTGTTCCAAAAAACTAGACATCCCGCATCAATTCAGCCTGGGTTAAACTAATTAGGTGATAAAATTGACTGAATTGATGTGGAATGTCTAGTTTTTGGCACACCCCTATACATAACCATCCTTTCAAAAAATAAAAAAAAACTAAAAAAAAAAATCAAACCAACGCAGCCTAACAATATAACAGGGAGTATGCATTGCTACAGTACATATGGCTCTCTTTTTTTTGGTCGTTTCTGCCCTTGTTGCTTGTTCAGTGAAACATTCTCATCTCCTTTAACATTGTGGACTATTTGGTAAAGAGCCCTGCTGGGACCCCAGTGAGGGGTGACCCCAGCACCCCCCTTCAAGTGGGGGGCTGTGATTGCAAGGTAAAAAAAAAAAAAAAAAAAACAGTTTTCAACCGATCAAAATTCAATGTGGTGGTGGGGTCACCCCCACTGGCTCCAAGGTATTTTTCTTTTGTAAATTGCTACCAAAGTGAAAAATGTGTTTGTTTGTTTTTTTTATTATATATTTTTAGTACCTTTTTTAACTGCTTGATTCACAAAGTGTGAACGACAACCATCCACATCTTCTTTTTGTCTTCGGAAATGGCAAGGACCTTCTTGGGAAGCCACTTTCTTGTATTATTTTTTTATTTTGCTTTGGAGAATGGATGAGCGTCTCCTTTGACATGGCTTGCAAAATCTTCTCTCAGTTGTCAGACAAGCTCTTGCTGGTTTCCTTATTTTGCTGGTTTATCACTATGTTTTTGTGCTTTATATGTATATTCCTGTAAATATTAATCATGAGTGAGGTTCAACCTTTTTTTTTTAAAAGAATAAATCAAAAAATCTTTGTGCATATATGTAAAAAAGAAAACACAAATGTGAAACCTTTAATAATTTTGTTTCTATCTTATTTACATATTATTATTCAAATTAATTATTGTCATACGATCGTATCCCCCTTCTAAATAATAGATTACTGCTTATACATCTATATATGCATGTGTATGCATCTATTTGCAACTGAAATTATTTGGATTTCATAATTTCTTCAACATGCATTGGTACCATTCTTATTCGTTGATTTTCTTTGGGGGTTTTGGAGTATTTTAAAATTTTCTCTCTTTCCTATCTAAGCTAATGTTTTGATATTTTTACTGTACAATCCTGTATATATGTGAATTAAGATTAATGCAAATATTAATTTTTTCCTTATGTACGCCTCTTGGTGTAAATCCCGCATATTCTCGTTCTTATTCAAGAAAGAACTTTAGCTTTTAGGGCATCTCACTGACCATTTCCTCAATTTTCTACTATCTTTTCTTTTCTACCATTTCCGTTCTTACTTTTCTTAGTAAACATTGATTTGATTTGATTTTTTTGTTCATGGATGTACGCTATTTTGTGAGAAATAGAATATGTGATATCAGTGTTCTAAAATTTTCATTACACACCGGCTGTAAATTAATAATGCAAGTTTAAGATTGTTTTCAATACGAACCTGAATGCTTGTGTTGCCCAAGGAAATAAAAGATTCATATCCATGATTCCATCTGTATTGAATCTTAATGCAAGTTGAAAATATGTAGTCATAACTGAGTGTAGGTCCACTAGCTTTTGATGAATATCATTCCTTGGATTCTACATTTCCCTTAATTGTGATGTTTTTTTGAATTTTTCTTATAAATGTTTTAAATTATTTTATCTTTGATTTATCATAAATATTTTGAAATTATTATGATGTCTTGTTTCATTGAATTCCACAGTTTCATTGGAAAGAAATATCAGCACTGTTGCCTGTTCAATGGTATGCTTTGTGCCTGGGTTTATTTGCATCAATTATATCACCATAGCAGTTATTTTTTGCAAGTGGCTTGAAGAGAGCTTTTCAAATTAAGGTGCATCTTGTTCACTATTTCTTTGCTCAAATTTATAAATTTGTATCAGCATCCAAATGAGATCCATAGTAAGTGTTCATTGGCTTTCTTCCTCAATTATTGCAGGATTTTGGTGATAGTATATTCCTGGACGTGGTGGGTTTACTGACAGAATGGACTGTCAGGTTGGGTACTAAAATTTTCAGTTCTTGCAGACATTTATTCATACCAATTCATTTGTTGCCTCTAAATTATTCTTATTCTTAAGATATTATATTCTCCAATGTTGGATTTCTTCTTTGGCTGATTGTGAGTAGTATGTGCTAAAAGCTTTTATATATTGTTTCATTTTCACAATGCTGGTTATGTTGTTCCAGATTATTTTTATTCTTTAGCTCACACATCTGATTTGTTTTATCTTTCTAAATGTTTGTGCTTTGCATAGAATAAAATAAATAACCATAGGGGGAAACAAAGGGTGAACAACTAAATTGGTATGGTTCAACTCAAAGAGTTAATTCAGATTGGCTGCTTATATAATAGCTCACTCTGAACATCATGCGAGGAAATTGTTTCATAGGTCTTTTTTAATTGTGTGTGGTTTTTTTTTTTTTTTTTCAGTGCTATTATTAGCATGATCAAGTTTCTTTTCTTAAGATAAGATTTTTTTGTCACTTCCATGCTATTCTGTTGGTATATTTTTGTTAAATCTAAATTTATTTCAACATGTGTCATATTGTAAATTGTTGAGGTGTATCAAGCATGCATTTTTAAGATAGCTGTTTGTACATTTATTTAATGTATTTCTCTTCTCATAATTGCTCATCTTCTACTTTTTTAAAACATGAAATAGTTGATAGGCAAAATAAAATATATACTTTATAGTAATATTTAGATAGGTAAAATGCCTACTACCTTTGGAGATGCTCTAAGATTGATTGATTTTCTTTTACAATTTATTATTATTTATAAATTGGGATGGCCCCCATTGAACACCATGTCATTCCTCAACTTCCAAACTGACCACAGCATCACTAGTGGCACCATATTCCAAATTTTCCTCTCCTTCATCTTGAGCTTCACCCCATCCCACCATTGTAGCAAGGCTTCAATAGAACTAGGGACTACACAACACACATCCCACCAGCTCAATAATGCAGACCAGACTCTCCTATACTGCATGACAGAATCCTCCTTGTCCTCTGATAACTGGAACAATCTTGGAAATTCCTCACTGAGCAATCTATTACTGCACCACTTATCACACCAAAATTTTGTTCTTTCCCCATTCCCAGTCCTTACGCTTGCATTTTCCAAGTAAAACTCTACCAGCAGTGGGTTATACTGAGCAATACTCAATATACCCTGCCTAATTGGAGACAGGCTTCTTTAATAACTCTGCTAGCAGTGGGTTATCCTTAGCAATACTCAATATATCCTTAGTAAAACTCTACCAAACCCCTTCTTTAATAGACTTCAATTCCAGGTGTTGAATTCAGCTATTGAAAATAAAATGCACAAATCACATGGTGTCACACTTTTTGATCATATGAAAATTGGTGGAACTTTATTCTAAGAAACTTCATTTCAATCCATGTATTTTCTTGTTGAGATGAAATTGGATGCACTCTTTACAAATTAATGATATCGATAATAAAACTTGTTTATGATAGGTATCATTTTTGTGGGTTAAAATGAAATGGGACCTCAACTTGTATGGCTAAAAAATACACATTTTCAAAGTGATGAAATCACGTCCCCTTTCTTGTTATGGGCAAGAAGCATATGCCAAAGTTAAGAGATTGCTTTTAGAACAGTTTGAGAGACTGCTTTTAGAAGCATTCATGATGCATAATCAAGGCAGGGGAAATGTCATTTTGGTCCTCAGTCAGTTGTCTTTTTATTTATATGATTGGAAAGGAAAACTTCTTTGACGACCAAAGTGTGGATTATTCTAGCCATGATAATACACACGAGTAAACATAGAAAACTATAAACCCATGATAAAACAACATAATCCTAATTCTCCACAATACTGAAGTCTCAGGAAATGAGTTTAACCTTCCAGTCCTCAGAAAAAAAAGAGTACCTGAAGTTATGAACCTATGAATCTGTCAATCTGTAAATGATGGGGCTTGCGTGCATCCCTGTAAGAAGCACTGTTTGTGCACGTTTTTTTTTTTCTTTTTTTTTTTCTTCTTCTAGTTCTGCTCTGATACCATGTTATTTTTTAGAAGAGGAAAAATTAGGGTATGAGTGGTTTTTAACCTTCCAGTCCTCAGAAGAAAGAGAGTACCCGAAGTTATGAACATATGAATCTGTCAATCTGTAAATGATGGGGCTTGCGTGCATCCCTGTAAGAAGCACTGTTTGTGCACGTTTTTTTTTCTTTTTTTTTTTGTCAGAAAAAAAGTTACCTCTCTCTTTTGCTCTCGTTTTTCGTACTACAGTTGCTTGAAGCGGCCTGGTGTTTTACAAACATAGCGGCAGGAAAGCCAGAAGAAACTAAAGCTTTGTTGACTGCTTTACCATTGCTCATTGCTCATCTTGGAGGTTGATGATGGTTTCTGCATTTTCCATTCAATGTGAAAGAATGTAAATGGTTCTTTCTTTTTCTTATCAGAAAAAGTAAATGCTTTTTCTTTTTCTTCTTCTTTTTGTGTGTAGTATTTTTTTCTTTCTCCATTTCCTCTGGCTTTCTGAGACCTAAGAGTGACTGACAGTAATTAAAGATATCAGGTTAAGTACTATACGTTGAAATTGGATTACGTAACCACAAGTATGTCCATTTTTGGATCATTGAACTGCTGTTTTTGTGGAATAGCACTATTATTGAGTTGGGTGAAGTAGTGACGGTTAGGGTGGAATAGCACTATTATTGAAGTCTCCAAAGTATGCATTGCTCATTGCTCATCTTGGATTA